CCCAGAGTCCGACTGGTGCTGCGTCATTGCTTCATCGTTTGCGTCATGACGTAACTGTTTGCGTGCCTGCTTCATAAAGCCAAATGCGCGGAAACCCCTCACAGCTCACACCAACAACAACAACAATGGCCGATTTTGCTCCAGCTTCCTCTGTACCTCTTCTGAAGACCCGATTCCCAGTAGGTAGCTGGTCTCTTCAGTGGACCACTGCTGCTTGTTAAGTTTCTTCATCGTTGTGTACAAACTGGATAAAACGTCGGCTTTTTGTTGTTGTTGTTCAGCAGATGATCCCGCCCCTGCCCCCGCCTCGATGTAAGCGTGACGTATGTGGTGCTTTTGCTCTAGCCGGACAATTCTTTGGTGCTTGAAAAAAACGAACCGGCTTCCGGAGCTAAGAGGCCGCACCGCTGCGGTGTGAACAGGAAAACCCGGTGCTTTTCAAGCTCCAGCTCCGAACCGGCCTTGAAACACCGTTGGTGTGAATGAGGTATTAGAAAGGCTCATTGTCAGGAATTTAAATAGTCCACTTCTCACTCTCAGACATGGCTGGGCAATTTACTGCTAGCTGCAGAACTGACCCGGGAAGTTCCAGTTTTTTCCTGTATCATTTGCTTTTAATCAGAGTCTGTGTGAATGACACAGAGTAATTTAGCCTGTATTGTATGTCAAATGACTGTGCATCTGATTGTTTAGAGCAGTTTTATTATTTTGTCAGGCTGGTGAGAGTCAAGCCAAGTTTACACAATAAACAATGTCAGATTGAAGCAGTGCATCATTATGATTGGTTCTCCTTTTGATTAATGGAGAAGCAGGAAGCCAGTCATAACGTTTCCAGCGGGCATGGACCCCTGTATGCATTCAGTCAGTTCAGTGAGGAACAGTGCTACTTACTGCAAGCACAGCTTTCCTCCATCTTTCATTTTTTGGTTGTTTGGCCAGTTTATGAATCAAGAATCATACCAACAATGGCCAATTGTTATAATTATAACAAGTTTAACATTTGTATTCCTATTACGTGACGGGAAGGGAATGGAAAAAGTGCTTTTTTTTCTTTTTTTTGTTCAAGCATCAGAATGCCATTGTTGTAAGTCTATATAACCTCAATTAATTAATATGATTTTTTTTAAAGGCCGTGTAACTATAAGCAGTAAATATTTGAAGTACAAAAGGACGGGTATGCGTTAGAAAAACGTCTATAAGCAAAGCTGCCTTCATGACACAGGCTAAGAGATTTACAGCACATTTCAGCACATGAAAGGAGACTCATTTTGTATTCACAGAACCTTCCTGTGCCATTGAGTCTTTGAACTTCCATTAAGCCATTTATCACCATGCAGTGCAATTCATTTATTTTTCTAACATTGGGGATGGATGCCCTCTTCCCTCCCCAACTCCGCCTCTGTAGACTCTGAGTGTTGAATTTACACTTTATAATGTGTGTGCAGTGATCAAGAATTTGAAGGTTGTCTTTCTCAAGTTCAACAACCCTCCATCATCAGGGCTTCCTGTTTTATTGGGACCAACACCTTTCCCTTTAGATTGCATTCATGCTGGTGATACCACACATACTTTAGACTGGAACTGTATGTTTGACCCAGAAACTTCTCTGTTGGTCTCCTCCAGTTGCTCCTACTATCCATGAGATGAAAAGCCATGGAGTTGGTCTGGGACGCACGGCTCTGCTGAGGTGCGAGGCAGCTGCTGTCCCCCCTCCAACATTCGAGTGGTACAAGGGTGAAAAAAGGTGAGCCCAGTTTGATTGTATTAACTGTCTAAATAAAGTGTGTTGTTGACATCCCCAAATGTCCACTAGATGTGGCTGCCTCATTTTACTGTTGCATGACATCATACTGTAGCTCATCATGGCTGAAGAGTTTCTGAAGTGAGCTGGCGTATCAATTATTTTCTGAAAAAAGTACAGAAAACATTAATAACAGATGGTTATAACTATTGTGAAATATAAATCATAAAGTCAGCATTTATTTGCATTTAAAAGTGAACTACATTGGCACGAGGTTGTCACTAGAAATGTGGGGCTATTACACCTGTAGGACTATGGATACTATACAATTGGTTAATTATGTGATATTAAGTATTTAAGGTAATTTTAGCTCAAATATGAAATGGGTTTAGTAAGTGTGTCACACATGATCTAATACTTACAGCTAATCAATCCTTGAAAAGCCTAAAATTTTAATTTTACTTCTTGTGAACTATTCCTACAGTAATTCAATAAAAACCACAAAGCCTCTTTCGGAAGTAAATGTAAAATAAACAAATACAAAATTAAAATATATATTTACTCGTATTACTGAGGTTCTCAAGGTGTGTTATGATAAACCGTTTGAATACAAATCTGCTGATTTTAGACAGTATTAGGTCATACTTCTTTGTCGAAAAGTAAGCGTAGTAGTGCGATTAGAAAGTTTGGGTTTTCATTTGTTTGTTTTTTCCCAGAGACAATGCATTGGTTTGTTGTGCCATTTGTCCATCCTCCAGGGAGAGCCAACACAAATGTCCCTGCAAGAATCATTTGTGCTTTGTCCTCACCTTGCATCTTAATAAAATGTTTGCTGGCAAGCGGCTTAAATCATTTGCAGCATATACATCAATCAGCCTAGAATCAACGTCAGTTCTTGAATTTGAAAACCAAATTACCCCCATTACCCATCATTTACCCACTCCTGGTGAGCACAATTTCAATCATCAGTTCACACTGTGCTAATTGTAATTATGGGTTGGATTCAATTTATTCAAATTGCTAAGGAGGCAAGTTGGCATGATTCTAGTCTTTACTTAATTCAAGGACTCGTTCTTTTTGTGACTTCTTATATGGCTAAATGGTGATTTCTTCATTCACTCCACAGCACAGAAAGGACTTTAGTAGAAGGACTTCAGCGCAGAACATTTGTGGCGTCTGTACGACATTACCACTGACTTCCAATACTATGTTTCCCATTGACTGTGAATGGGAAAGGCCGTTTTATACAGTATTTAGGCTGTCTGGATGAAGCCATACTATCAGTATATTACTGCTGCCAGCCTATCTCTGTCGGAAATAGAGTGACAGTTTTGACAACCAAGTCTTTCTCTTGATGTGTGACGGAAATCACTCTTGAATAGAAGTGGTTGAGTGTGTTATTGTGCGCGGGTAGGGGGTGTTTCGTTCACTTTGACAAAAGGGAGCATTGACTAGTTTGATGTTAAAATAGTGGAAAGGCGAGACCCCCGCTAAGATTATCAGTGAACGTTCAGCTTACATTGGAGGAGATCACCGTGGGAGGGGAAACAACAGATTCGCAGATATTTACTGGACATAAGGTCACACACAGTGTTTCCAATCACAGTCCTCTCAGAGCAACTCCAGCCAAGCTAAAGATCACAGGGGGCCACAGCAAGGCCAACAGAGAAAATCTTTGACTCTGGAGGTTTTTATGATTTATCATTTCAAAGGTGATACTGTAGCAGTAAAACCAACCACACCAATGAAATCAAACCCGATCATCTTTGTTAATCTCACTAACAGGATGTGGGTTACTTTTATAGCGGGCATTCTAATCTCTACAAGCTGCTAAAGATCTACATGATTACCAAACAATTTTTTTTTACATTTGTCAATTTTAAGGCACAGATGAATAGAAGACAATGAGATGCAGAGTGGAGAAAAAAATATTTGGGCGATAACGCTTATGTATGAGATACATTTTAGCCTTTGAGACCTGCGGGAATGCCGGCCAACATTACTGTCTTTGAGAGGCTGTCATTCATTCTTTTTAATTTAAAGTTAAGATCATTATATAATTTGAGGCTAAAAACAACCTCAGTATTACATTGAGTCTCAGATGGTTAATTTACTTTAAGCTTAAGTAATTCAATATCAAACCGATTAGACATCAAGCATTGCCCCTACATTTGTTTTCCCTTCTTGCCTCTCAGGGCTTCCATCCTAATGCCAAGCACAACTGGAATAGGATTTATTGCACTCCTTCTGCACCTGCAACACAACAATGAACAACATGTCAAGTGGCACCCAGCTGTTTCAACTCCGGGTCATTTCTCTCCCCTCTCAGTCCTTCAAAGCGTTTCTCTAAGGCAGACGTGACAGTCCAAGGGATAAATAGATCTGTTGAAGAGGATGATGAAGTACTGTACAATCTGAAGATCCACTAAAGGACTACAAACATTTGTACTGTCCTTGACACAAGGCGCACCCCCAACTGACTCATTGTGTGTGACTTAATTTCTTGCGATTGTTTTCTGTTTTCAGGATTAACAAGGGTCAAGGCATCGAGATCAAGAGCCTCAGCTCCAGATCAGTCCTCACAGTGAACAACATGACAGAGGATCGTTACGGGAACTACACATGTGTCGCCACCAACAAGCTAGGGACGGCTAATGCCAGTGTGCCTCTCATTCGTAAGTTGTCATTCTATCTGCTTGTAGCTAACTGGTGTGGTGGAGAGTGAGAGGGCTGACAGGTTGTGTGGATGTCAGCGGGGGTTTGTGTGCTCAGGAGTGTTTTCATTTTGCCACAGCATTCTTTATATAGGAAGAAAAGCTAACATTAAACCCAGTGCTGCAACTGGGGGCTCACATGTCACCAGTGGAAATGGTTTATTTGTCATCAGCTTTGTGAATGTTGATTGCCTATTATTGCTGCAAAGTCTGTGTGTGTGGGTGTTGTTGCGTGTTTGCTTTAAAGTCTACATATGCATGTGTACTGGACAAAAACACCACCTAAAAAAAGCAAATGTAGCTTTGAGGTAACAGCATCACAATTACAAAGGAAGATACACGGGTCAGCCGTGCTAAGTTGAATGCTAAGTCGCGGTATGACTCAAACTTTTAAGAGGTCTGAGAGTCAGGCCTTTCACAGTTTTCAAGATGCCATGAGGCTCTAACTAATATCCGAAGAGGCCAAATAATCAGAGGCTATACTGGTGGTGCATCAGCAATAGACTGTAGATATTTAACACGATTTAGAGAAGGATTCTTTATAAATGCAGGTACTGAAAAATAGATGATTTGCTAAGCGACCTGAAGCATAGCAAAAGCTTTCCCAAAACAGGTGCAGACAAAAAACAGCTGCTTATCATGGCATGAACCCAGGTTCATTCTTCAGGCAGCAGCAACTACAACAATATTTTACCCTTCGGTTGAGGGCTTGTGGGCTTGATATGTATTGAGTCATGTGACTGTCAACTCTCCACCCAGGCAACATTAGAGGAGGCATTACAACTACAGTGCAATGGGTATTTGGGTCATTGTGGAAAGAATAGCAAAGGATATTAACAAAGTAGTAATTATAGGATCAATTATTCAGATAACCCTTATAGGAAAGCCAACACATACAGTAAAGGCAGATGCCATTGTATGACGAGATCCTGATTGAGCACTGGGACAGGTGATGTGGTGTATTGAAACCTCCTTTCAATCGTTTTAGATAGCTTTGAGTTTGAAAAGCCTCTGAAAAGTAATACACTCTAGATTTGAATGAAAACAAGGCTATTAGTCTATTAAAAGACTAACTGGTGATTTTAATGTCTGAATGAAGTTCTTGGTTTCCTTAATAGGCCCATTATTTCAGAGATGATCAAAACACAAAAAATCTAAAAAGATAAAAAACCTTTGAAATACCCGAAGCCTTTTTCCCAATGTAGTGCTTTAAAAGCTATGGTGTGTTAACAGGTCAATCAACAGAGAAGACTGTTTGGATTCCTGGTACACAAACAGGGTTACATTTTCCTCTATTTCAAAAGAGGGAAATCCTCTTCACTCATTTTGAACACATTCTTAAATCTGTAGTTCACAGCAACTCCCCTCACTGCGTGCGCTCAGCTTTGAGTCTCTATGGGAAGTGGCTTTTAACTTAGTTCTCGGAGAATGTTACAAAATCCATCTACACACATTTGCAAACTTGTACTTGCACTCAAGTATTTATAGGACTACATTGTTTGGTATTTCAGCTATGTTGTCCACCTGCTTTATCTGCCAACCTGCAAAGTGGAGGCCGAGGGTGAACATATTTTCTTCCTTAACGTTTGAGGGTTAGTCTGGTTGAACAATTCCATTAAATGTAGTCAGTGATGAAATATGAACAGGTGAATTAAATTATTCACCAGTTTGCGCTGAACCCTCTGATGATAACATCGTCCCTGGCAGGCCAGCGATTCAGAATATGAAAAATATATTTCTGTAGAGTTGGCAATTGTCAAAGGAGCACTCCACTCTCCTGTTTGTGTATGCACAAAGAACATCAAAGGCTTGTCTGAGATCCTCAAATGGATGATCTTAATGTGACACTAGCAGGGCCTCAAAGGCAGAAGCGGCAAAGCAGCCCTCAGAATAGTCAAGAGCAGCTTCCTGTGCTGCCACCCCCAACTTCTCTCTCCTTCATTCCCTCTCTTTATCTCTTTGTCTGTCTCTCTATTGTGGCATCGTCTCTCTGATTCTCTTATCTCACTCTCTTACTCTTTGTCCCCCCCCCCCTTGTCTCTCATTCTTCCTCTCTATCATCCTCTTTCTTGCACACACACAGCATCTCTAGTCTCTTCCGTTCTCTCTCATGATCTCCACTTATAGAAGACAAGCCAATTCTGCTGTCGCTCTTAATGAGAAATGGCATGCAATCGCCACAGCGTTCTCACCGGTACATTGACGCAAATAACAAAACCCAGAGGTTAGATTTCACCACCGGTGACTTTGGATTGCTATTTTAGAACCAGTCGATAGCTATTGATGAGCGAGATGGGAAAGGGGAAAAGGGCATGCATATTTGATAGAGCATCATACATCGAGGTGAATGTTAAGTGCGAACACAATGTGGATGGTTTGTGGTGAAGTAATTGAGTATTTATGTATGCGCAATAGTTTATTTGGATGTTTTTATTATATAACAAGGTTTGATTACTGTGCATGAATTGATAGGGTCAAGTGAGGTCAACCCAATCCAAATAGCCTTCTTAAAATACATCCACTAGGTGCAAATATTAAATATAAACCGAAATACAAAGCACTAGGATTATTTTCAAGATTCTGAAGTTTAAATGTGCTTATCCTTCAGCAGTGTAAATCATGTTTTTTCTAACCTGACATAGCCACTTTAAATCAGTCTGGGAAAAGGCTTGCCATTATCTCTGATGAGATTAACTGTTACCCTGGAAAGGCCTCTCTCAGGGAGAGAAAACTCCACTGCCTTCCGTCCGAGGCAGCCACTGGAAGACAGCATGTTTGGTTTCTGTTTCATGAGAAACACAATTTGCATCCTGGCCATCCATGGTAGGTTCTGGCTTATTTCTGCATTCTTGACGGCTATATCATCACTGTGTGCGGATGTGCTGGTTTGGATTCTGCCAATTGTGTTGAAACCAAGTGGGTTTCTGTGCTGCTTATCCATTAGTCAGGGATTGTGATCTCTTTCAGCTAAGTACCACTTTAAGCTGTGTATTTAAAGTGGTGGTAAAACACAAACTGAATTCTTCGGAGCAGAACGAAAGCATACATCCTCTTTGTCACTACTCTGTGTTTGTGTTTGCAAAAAGGTTTTCCTTTCTGATTGCTTTTTGAATAACACAATATAATCATTGAATGAACAAATAATAAAGCAGAAAAGAGCACTTCTGAACAGCTGTTTGGTAACAAAGATGTAAATAAGCTTGAATGATTGCATACACATAATCAGAAATAACTTGGGAAGATGTTCTGCCTCTATATATCTTTGCAGATTAAATATTGTATTTAATTCATCACAACTGAACCAGAGATTTCACGGGTCTGATTCCTGCTGTGATTTATTTTCAGTCAGTTAGATTCAATCACAAGACGCAGGTTTTCTTCTTTCAATAACTGTAACAACAGAAAAGTAATCTCAATTAATGAGGTTTCAGATTCCGGAGAAAATCATAGCTTAACAGTGACGGTCTGTATTAGCAGTTGTACAAAACCAAAGCAGTAAAGTTAAACAAAACCTGCAGAGAGTGGTACTGGATCGTCAGTTTCTTACAAAATGAGGAGTGGGTTAAACCAGCTGCAGTATGATATGCTGATGTGTTTGTTAATTTACTTATTGAGTTATTCGACATTGCACATTAAAGTTATTGCCATGAAGAAGCCACAGCTTGCCCAAATGAGTTAGTTTTGTGGGCAGATGTTACAGTCAGCATGTATTTGATTATGAACCATATAGTTTTGCTGAAATGTTCAGAAGTGTAGACATCATAAGTGCTTGCATTGCAATTTTTTGTTTAGGAATTAGTATACTATATAGCGTGTGCTTTTTATTCAAGTTCTCCTCAAACACATGGTCCTTTTGAGTTTGGATCATGGGGAAAGTTAAGGTTAAAGCCGCAGAAGATTAGAAACCTTCTGTTTTAACAGCCCAACCGGTTACAGATGTGAGCAGTAAAAAGCTTTGATTCAGCACACTGTGACGGTGATAATGTTTTATAATCTAGTCATTAATGAGAATAGCCTGTGTTACACGCATACAAAGTCAACATAATCTTTAGTTTATGATTGATGGTTTAAAATACTTTGTTATTTTCTTCTACAAATAAACAGACATACTACTGAGTTGGGCCCAGACTGTGTTAAATTCAATGCTCATTGAGCATCATTTACCGCTGTTCTGAAGGTATCACAGGAATACTGAGACTCTTTGAACCATTATGAGCATTGCTTTTCAATTCCATACAAACATGGTACATAGAGATGGCATATCTCTGTGCTCTATTTGTACAAAACTGACAGTATTTGTATTATCCTTTCAATTGGTATATAATACCGCTGTATGGTTACACTATTTCCAATTATTTATACTTTCATACAAAGTAAAGTATTAAATGTTTGTATAGCCCTTGGACTTCAATGGAACGGTAATGCATGATGCAGAAACTGGGGTTAATCCGAAGTCATCCATAAGTCATGCCTCCGTGTTCCTGTAGAATACAAATAAATACTGTATAAAACTGTATAAAAAGTTTTTTTTATTAAGAAGTTTCTGGAGCCCCTGTCTGTTCAAGAGAACACAGGGGAAAACACATGTTATATACCTAAGCATCGTCCGGTTGTGTTTCTGACTGTCTCTCCTTGCACATGCACACTATCTAGAGACGGCACTCACACACACTTTATGCTTTTAGCAGAGCAAACTAGCAATCCTTATTTCAACTTCCCATTTGATGTGTTAGATGGAAGTGAACTTTGATGAAAAGACTGAGGCCGTTCACTCCAATTTTCTGAGGAGTCCTCCAGCTTAATTGGTCAAGCTCTTATCCCCCAGCCCACCTCGGCTTAGTCCTGGAGGAGATTTTCTCCGCCTATACCTCTGCCTTCATTTCCTCTTTTCTCCTCTTCCCTCCTCCCCTCCCCAACCAGTAATCGGAAGGGACTGATGGGGGAGAAAAATAGTTCTCTCTCTCTCTCTCTCTCCGACACTGCACAGCCTCCCTCAGGCAAGACAGACAATGCTGGCTAGTTGGTTAATGAACGCCATGTTCGTTTGTCACGCTTATCAATCACCCCATGTGTACGTGTCATTTCAACATGTTTCCTCATCTGCCATTGTTGTTGATGATGTTGTTTGCTCTCGAACCGTGTGATTGTATCTGAGTCATGGAGCAGAGATGCAGGAAAATGGGAGCTAAAGGTGATACCTGAAATGTTGGTGTATGATTGCAGCCTCTAATGCAGGGAAATAATACCGGAGCCATGTGGGGATTGGAAGGCATGTTTATGCAAGTTGTTTTTATCTTTTGTAAAAATACCTACCTCCTCTTCTCATTTGCCTAAATTGCTCATAAAACCAGCTGGATCCAGGCAGTATTCATCTTTTTTTCTGATTGCATTTCAGTGTTTTAAAATGAACACAATGGATTATTTTTGACATAGTTGTTGGTGGTTTAATTTTCAAATAGTCACATATCAAAATGTGCTAAAAAATTGAACACGCTGGTGTTGCAGTGTCCTTTATTTCCCTCAAGAGCACCCTTACAGTGTTGTGCCATTCACCTATCATTTGAATGCCTGAATTTCCATATTTAGGCAATCAGAAAATCCATTAACATTTTCCCGTTTCACTGCGATGAGGAAATGTTTGGTGCCGAAACAGAGTGTTCATCCTGCAGCCCAGCGGGCAATGGACTTTATACCCAGCCGACCTCGCAGACTCATGTTGGAGGCCAGATGCACTGCTAGGAACGCTCATCCTTGGATGACTGAGCCCAGTTGATGCTCACAGGATGATACACTCTCTGGACAGCATTAAAAAGGACATAGGATGAATAAGTAATTTTCTGGCTCACTAATTAACACAGTCTTTAACACGGACCGTTCCATCATCACTGAGGGCTCTGTGAGGAAAATGTGAAATAGTATAGCTAAAGAGTTTACACAAGGAATGTGTCCCTGCATGAAGAATAACTCGATAATGCACTCAAATGGAGCAGTGAAGATGAATTGGAATTTCTTTGCATCATCCTCTTCCTTCTTATTTAGGTAATAAGTAAGACTTCACTTTAGTACAAAATGTAGCCATTGGTCGGAGGAGGTTTGATAGTATTAGGATCAATATTATTGACTCAGCATGTAATTACTCAGGTGTTTGTTTTTGGCATAAATACTGGGAATGTGCAACACATTCAGCCACTTTGTTGAATACTTCTTTTGGGTTTTTGTCTTGATCTGGTCTTATTAAATTGCTATCTTGTCTTTCTACTGTAAACTATACTTGAACCCATCTCATGTTAAGGACGAACCGCTTATATACTGTACTGTAGCTGTTTGAGTCGTCACATTGCAGCTTTAGCATTAACTCCTCATTATGCTTTTGATAAGATAACCGAGCGAGGGCCCACGTGAACATTGATTCCTACAAATCATGTTCTTTAAATCTCTTGCATTATCCCGTCTAAAGAGAACAAAGAGAATAGCAATCCATGAAATGAAATAGCTGTGAAAACTAATGTGTTTTATCTTACAAGTGAGCAGGCAGTGCAAGGTCGACTGCCATATACAGTGCGTGAAATGATGCGTTGCTCTGCTGAATTAGAGAAAGAGCCCTAGTCATCGTGGTGGAGCTATGAGGGAGAGATTGCATGTCAAAAGATGTTCCACAGTAACGGACGAGTCTCTGAGAGCTCATGAAATGATTCACTGGTGAGTCCATGCTCAAGTATTAATCAGATAGCACCCGCCTGCCTGTATGAAAAAAAACTCAAACGAAACTAGCTTCACATATGGGCTCCCACAGGAGTACTTAAAGTGGAAACATTTGTGGAAGAGAAGATACATTTGACCATTTCCCCACCGATATACTGAGGGAAAAGGCACTTCAAGTGTGAATACTGATTCCTACACAGTTTCCCCATCAAAAAGAATGATGAAATCAAATGAAAGCAAATGTTTTTATTATTGTTGGCATATCAGTAGCATTTTAAAAGTCAACATAGTTATTATCCAGTTGTTAGATTGCTTCTAAAAAAAACGTACAACAGATTGAGAGCACGGTGAGGACGACAGCGCACCCTTTTGCCCCACAATTGAAATGGCCAATTCCCCTTTCCATGTAAATTGATTAAAATGGAGGTTGTAAGTAGGCTTCTGCTGTATTGCATGGCCTATATACAGCAGTGAACTGCAACAGTATAGAGTATTATTCTTCTCTTTGTGAGGTGTTATCATGGGTGCTACGGTTTCCCTTGTGATGGATAAGCTCCTCCTCCACCATGAAGCCTTCTGGAAAAGGTGGTTTTCACGTTTTTGAAGAGTAGAAAATAGTTTTTCAGCTGCAAGTGTAAGTCGCACTGTTGGTGTGCCACATACTCAAAGCTAAGAAAATCCCTATGAGTCCAACCACTGAATCACTTTGAGTTGAGCTCTGATGGTAAAGTACAGCTTTGCTTTGCCAGACATCCCAGAATCTGCTCCCGAATTTATGAGTCACTGCACAAAGCTCGTCACAGCTTATCTTGAATTAAGAGCTTGTTTACCAAACAGAAAGCTATGCTATTTACTTATTTGTTTCAAGCTTCAGATCAAATAGTCTGTAATTTTTACATTACAGTGATCTCTTAATACCAAAACAGCAGTGAATAATTGATGCTGCACATCAGGGAGTAGGTTGAGCTTCACACTTTGGAAAGTCAGAAATCAAAGGACTTGGCCAAGTCATTTTTAAGTACCTCGTATTAGTAACCCCATGAAGACCTAAATGTGTGGTGGTTATTTTTTGGCTATGTGTTAAAACAGTCATACATGCCTCGTTTTTTGTATTCACAACCTTGCATCTATTATCAGTCCATTGGGACACATGTTTACCATACATATGAATAAGCATAGGATCTATTTGGTGTGACATTTTACTCTTGCACTTCTAAAGTAAGGAAGGTGTTTTCCTGCCATCCTTCCGTGGACACACTAAGCTATTATAGTTTGACACCTGGAGTAAACATTTCAGGAAGTTATATTATTCCATTTCCTAAATGCCACCAGTAGCTCAGCCTATAAGAGTTCATAAGGTAATCAGATTGGGACGTCCACAAAGCGATCTTAGACAGACTGATGGCGCACTTAAACTGAAGGCTCAACTCTGCTTGGAACCCTTCTTCTTCGGGTTGCATTTACAGTAGCAAAATATGTTGATAATATCTGGTACTTTATATGTACCACCACTGTTGATGTTCAAAGCTCATACCAAAAAGTGGAGCTTCAACACTGCAGTCCACTGATAGGACAGAGAGAATCGTCACAAGCACAGCAGGGGACATCATTCAAGGAACCCTGCCATTTTTAGATCAATCAAAAGCAACTGCCTTTTTTTGCATTCATTTGATTAGTGTTGTCATGCAATTTAATATTAAAACCTCTAAACAATGCATATGGATGTAATAATAATAAACTACATCAAACTTTCAATTTGACGAAAATGTTACATTACAAAAGAAACAATCTACGTATTTAGAAAATGTCAATTCACAACAGCGAAGAATGTAAAAATAAGCCGGTGAATGATGATACATTTCACTATCCAAGCAGGATTAGAGATCTTGTAGAGATAAGTGTTAACTAGCAATGTTAACTATTTTGTTGAATTACCTCCCTTTCAAAATGCAGGAAAAGACCCTTATTCCTTTAGTTCTCGGCCGGTTCATACAACTAACAAGAAGGACATGGAGAATGAGCCAGTTGTTTAGCATACCATTAGTGTGACAAGTGTTTCACCCAATCATAAAACCCTCCAGAGCCCAGAAGCTGCCCGAGCTCCCCAGGTGTCCCTCCTTTCCTTTTTCCTGGGCAGTAACCCGTACACATCCGAGGCGATTGGTGTGATAAAAGATGTTGTTTATGAGCATGTGGAGTGCATCGTGCCATATAGACACAGGTCCTTAATGCATGGAGAGGATTTGTCTCCATTCCCTGTCCTTGTCCTTGCATGCATTTTTATTTTTACGTCTCCATTCTGTTAATAATACATGAATGTCCTCTTTCCCTCCCCCTCCCCCTTCCCCCCTCTCCTCCCCTGTAGCAATTATTGAACCCACGACCACTAGTGCTGTCTCAAGCCCAGGTCAGTATATGTCACCATGCTGTACACCGAATCAGCAAAGAGGTCCGCTGCCTCATACTAACCCCAGCTGAGATCCTCTCCTCCATCTTGAGTTATAACAATTGGCTGGCTTGAATGCCTGCTGGGTGTACTTTGTATGTCCTTTATTTGTTTTTTATTTGCTTTCCTTATTTTTTCTGTTATTTTTTGGTTTGGCTTATACAGCGTGGCTATATATACTTCCCGCAGCCTGTGCCATCACAACACCCTTCTTTTCATTACCACGCCGGCACCCCCCACCCCCACGCGGAGCAAACAGTAGTGTCATTAAAGTGGCTGTTCCGCAGGCCTCTGGGTCTGATGCTTTTCATAATGCTAATGGCTTCTTCTGCTTCTTCTTCTTCTCTGTATGGCTTTTTCACCTCAAACACCACCAATCCCCCAATCCTCTAGTTCTAAATGCAGTGTATATTAAAGGAAGCTGTTGGTGGCTAAGGCCTTTGGTTTTTGTTGTTTTTTGTAAGATGGAATCTGGACTGTCTATTTAGTTTTATCACTCCTATTCTGTCTTAATCTTCCTATATCCCTCTCTCTACCTTCTGTACCCATGCTTTCCTCTTTCTAGAACAATCAGTTGGCTTTCTGCCAGACTCTTTAACCTGATCTGCTGCCAGTGCTGTTGTCAGTGCTACACTGTCAATGTCGCCCTTGTGCCGCCCCCCCCCTCCCTCACTATGTTCTGCCGCTTCCACATTCAAGCTCGGAGTAATCCCCTCTGCCTGGTCGTCTTTTCTCTCTCTCTAATGGTTTTAAGCAAGTCACAGAATGTAATCTCTCACTATGGTTACATTATTTCTTCTTAATACTGTTCATGTGCACAGGAACATGCTGGAAAGCACTCGCACTGAAAAGCTTTCACCTGTAGGGACACAAAAGCCACTGAATTGAAAACATCCTGAAATACATGCTCATTTGCACCTGCACTTACAGTACATGTGAGGATTCATACTGCATGGTGGATCCGCTCAGTGTTGTTGTAACTTTTCCATCCAGCTCTGTGGATGGATACCATTGTTTCATGTTGTGTTTCATGAACACACAGGCCTGGATTATTAGCACGTGTTCGCCTACCTGTCTATCTGAGCCAAATATAATTATCCATGGAGATTCCCTCAGATAACATATTAAAATAAACTTAGCAGCAACGAACAGTCCTGGCATGACCCTGAACTCTCATTTGATGTAACGCTTGCAGAACAAATGACAATTTCATGGTCCAAAGGAACACCACTGGTTTCAATCGTGGAGATAAACTCACTCAGCATCCCACTGTTCTTGTTTTGTTCCAAGTTGTATTTGTAGTTAATTTTTTGATGGCGCCCTCACTAAGTTGCTTGGCAAAGGCAATTATTTTAGATCCCTGCAAATGGCTCTTTGTTCAATCAAGTTTAATAATGAATTTGACAGTATGTTATCTCCTTTTTTCCCCTGTGAATGAGTTTGGGAAGATGCGCTTCCAAAAATAAGTGTTAGGTAAGCAAATCTGTGAAGTGGGAAAAATGGTTCATCCCTCACTGCACCTGAAGTGCATGTTTCAGGCCACTGATCAAGGGCAAATAATAACTAAGGTAAATCAAATTACATAAAGAAAACAATGTTAATAGGCAACATCAGTCATTGTGTTTGATTATCTAACCTTGTTGTGCCAGTACAACATAAGCAAAACATAGATCTGGCAGGCCATTATGTAATTGTGAAAGTAATGAGGTCCTATTTACAGTACATGCTGGATATTTAATAGTTTTGACTCTGATTTTGAATACTATGATATTTCAAAGTCACAAAATTGCTACTGCTGGAGCTACATTACAAACTGGACTGTATCCACATGGATACAATTAACACAGTTTCATCACCGACTTCTCTGCAATACTAATTACACTTTAATAGTAGTAGTTTATCTTGAGTTGTTGGAAACATTAAGCTTTTATCAACAAAACTCAAAAGGTTGATGGCTGAAAAAAAAGAAGCATGGCAAATATCACAACCCTCTCTGTGAGGAAACTGAAATCCTTCAGTATGCGCGGCAGGCTGCTGAAAGTCAGCCGCGGTCAGAGCACTGTTCTTGGATTTGCGTGTGGCATGAAGGCTGGTGATGCCAATAATAAGGAAGTCCAACTCTGTGGTCGGGCTGGAACTGCACAGTCTGCAGGCTGAGAGGAGGATGATGGACACGACCGTCCTGAACAACTCCTCCCACCCCTCCATGATGAAGTGTGGCAGATGGCCGGCACAGCTCTGCCCACCTAAGAACAAGAAGCCAAGCTTCAGGCGTTCACTTGTGCCCACTGCCGTCACGGCAACTGTGACCACCGCCTCAGCCAGCTGCGACCCCCTCACACCAAGACTTAACCCACTCCCACTCAGCCGGACCTGACTCACTCGCTGCTCACGTCTCTAACTGCTCCACACTCAGAGGTCACCATCGGACATTTCCTTTTTTCTAATTCTGATCAATAATAAATGTTATAATGGGAACTGTACATTCATAGTCAAAATAACAAGGTATTAAATTGGCGGTTCGTATGCCATGTACATCTGCTTTTCCAAGGTACTGAATACAATGTTTGAGAGTTAAAGATACAAACATGAGCAGCATTATCTCAATAGATCAAAACTGATGTTTTTTTAACCGTTCTCTTGCTTAGGTCATACCCCCCTTCCCACACTATTTTCGGTGTTTTGCACAGTGATATCTCTGGAACCCCTTATCCAATTGTGATGGTTGACATCTCATTTGAACAGTCAAAGCAAGTAGAATCAAGGGTTGACAGACAGAATGACACCAGGGGTGAATTTCATGTTATCATTTTGCAGTAAGTTCAAAGATAGTGCTTACTGTACATTACTGTATATTATAAAAATGCTTGCCATGTAGGCTGTGTTTACTGGAGATGGAAATGCTTTAGTTGGTGTTGTAGCTGAGATTATTCCCGTTCCAATGATGTTTGGGATGTTTTGATTTGATACAAGCCAGTCAGTGTTTCATTTTGTACTTTCAACTATACGTACTATATATGGTCCGGACCCACCGGTGGGCCCATCAAGTTCAGCATTCACTGCATTCACTGTGATGAATATAAAATAAGACATTGATACTGTTTTCCTCAATGAACATTTAGAGAAAAATAAATATTCAGGGGCCTCTCCCTCAGGGGCCGCTTCCTGGTCTGTTGACTGTTGGTTAGGCTCATAGTCTGGTTCGCTGTTGTCTTCCATTTCTGAGACATCGTCCTCTATCTCTGGTTCAAAAAAGTGTCCTGAGCCTCTCTGATAGAAAATCGCTTAATCGGTCGCCTACTCATTGTGTCAATGAGTCAAATATGAGCAAGGCACAAATATAACTGCATGAGAGACAGTAAGGGAGGGGCATTTACTGCGAGAAAGTGAGAGGTTTTTCTTTCTCGAGGGGCCCAGAGCTCGCACCTGTGAGCGCGAGAAAGTGAGAGGTTCCCGTAACTTGTTTTGTCTGGAAGGTGTGGGGGGGACATAAGTCATAACAGACATAAGTGTGTGTTCAAGGTTCAAGGTTCAAAGTTCAAACTAACATAGCTACAGAGTAATTATGTCATTGGCTTCTCCAACAATGCTACACAATAATACTGTGTGTGTGTGTGTGTGTGTGTGTGTGTGTGTGTGTGTGTGTGTGTGTGTGTGTGTGTGTGTGTGTGTGTGTGTGTGTGTGTGTGTGTGTGTGTGTGTGTGGTCAAAAACAAAGTCACTCGGTCACTTTTGACCCAAAACGCAAGAGAAGCGTTAAAGCACTAACATGCTTTAGTTAACAACATCTTAAAGTTGCATTCTCTTTATCACATTCATAACTCTGTTTATTATTAAGATGTCCTTCTCATTTCTTTAAGGTCATTGTAAAATCTAATAATAATGATCATATTAAAAATAGTATGCCCTGACATTTCGGATATTATAGTATTACTTTTACAACCCGGCTTTCTAATAAATATAGCGCTTCCTACCTCTTTTTCATAATAACTGTTATACTATTATTATGAAAATGTATTTGAGGAATAGTTTGACATTTAAGGGTGCAGGTTTTCTTATGTTATTTTCAAAAGTTAGACTAAAGGACGAGAAGATTGATGCCACTCTCATGTTTGTATATCATATATACATCTACAGACATTAGTTAGCTTAGCAAAACGTTTTGAATCATTTGGAAAGAGCTAACCTGGCTCTCTATAAATAAAACAAATCAATATAGCAACTTCTTTAAAGCTATTTTATTTATTGTTTGCTTTAATCACAGTCTGTATTTTGGATCTCTTGGGCGTCAGAGAAATCTTGTCTTATCTCATGTTAAAAATGGCATACAATATTTTCACACTCGTCAGGGGACCGTAGACATCAAAAGAAACCATCTGTCATTGCTCCTCTTCATTTCACAGCACCATGAACGTTTACACTGCCTATGGTAATATGGTAACATATTGTTCACAATAAAATACTTAAGCTTGTTTAATCTTTAGCATATGGATTTGTTTTTGCTCCTAAACGTAAAGTACTGATCTTATAGTCGAAAGCATCTGGCTCGGTGGCTCCCTGTCATCCCAATGAAATGTAGATCTGTGATAATAGCATATGCTCCCTGAGGCTTTCACTCCGCAAATCATGTGACAGTTGGAAAACAATGTTCTTAACACTGTACTGAGCCCAATTGCTTGTTTTTGCGCGGCACAGTGCTGCTGGTTCAAGAAATATTACATGCATTATACATAATGTGTGTGACTCTCTGATTCCCATGTGTCATGTTTACTCCCAAATAAACACAATTCAGGCAGCCTGAGTGTAGCTAAGGGAAACTGGTCCACACTGTTTCGCTCCCCTATTAACCCTGTTCTTAGCCCTCATTCCTCACAGGGCATTCTTTATTTCAAATATCTGGTATAATCAACAGAACTAATTAAAGAGGAGGAGAAGACTCTGATGCTGCCTGGCATGTGAAG